TTGCGAAAAAATATTTTTAAAAATTAATAAATACACAAAAATATGAAAAATATACTAAATTTTTATTTTATTTTTTTGTATTTTTAGTATTTAGTGAATTTTTTAATGAATTTTTTCTCAAAAATTATACTTTTTAAGTGTATTTATATTAAGTGTGTCTAAAAATTAAAAAAATTGCTTAAAATATTTAAAAATTCAATAAAAACAAAAAAATACGAAAAATAAGAAAGTAGAATTTTCTAAAAATTCAAAAAATTGGAAACAAACATGGAATATTTTTTCTTGACAACTTTAATTTTAAATTAAAGTGGAATTCAACTATCGGTTGAGGTGAGCCCGAGTAATTTTATATTTTCTTAAGTGAGAAGGTTGTAATACATAAACAATGAGCCGAAACCATTAGGTTATGAATGGAAATTGTCTCAGAAAATAGGTATCAATAGAAGTTAGTCTTGGGCGTGGACTTAGTTTTTGTCTTGGTCTACACTGGCCTAGACTTATAGATATGCATGTATTTCTTGGGCATAGGTTAGGTTGTGTTATGCTGAGTTAGACTTGTCTTATGCATATGTTTTAGACTGAGTTTGGATTCAGTTGTGACCCAACACCCGTATCTATTTTGCAACCTATCTGGTTGAATTATTTAAATAGCATTATCTATATTTATTTTATATATAATGCAAGGGAGGTTTTCAACCTTTATAACTCTTATATTTTGATGATAGAGTTAATGACCATATTAGTAGCTATAAGTTTTTAACCTTTGTAACTCTAGCCCTAATAGTTAGAGTTGATGGGCTTGATTAATAACAATTTGATGATCCTATTGATGTTAGTCTTCATGGCTAATGTTCTTCCCTACAAGTGTAAATAGAGACTTTCCCCTCCAACTTATTAGAATAATATTTGGAGAGGTTTTTGATAGAAAATGAGATGGTGCTTTGAGATAATAAAGTTGGAGATAATTTTTATACCAAAGGAAATTTTTCCTATCTTCTTTGCCAACCATTTTTCTGGTTCTTGTTAGAGAGAGAGTGCTGCCATTGTCAAGTTCGCCGAAGCTATTTAGAAGGTGCTTCTGCATTAGCTGGTTTCAACCGTCGTATCTTGAAAAACAGACGACGATGTACTTCCAGCACCCATTGAGAGGCAGTGAATCTGTTTGAAAGAAATTGTGGTTACACAAATTTCGATTTGCGTCTCTTATCTTTTTTATTCAAACTTATAAATTTAAACTATTTCTTATATATTATTTTGTATGTCTATGTGAATCCTTCAGATAATATGTTCCATAATATAATTTAGTTCATTCCTATATATTTAATTTTGTAGCTTATTTTGTATTTCACTCCTTAATTTAAAAAAAAAAAAAATTGTTTTGTCATTTCTATTTAAATTTTATTTTATATGTTTTTTTAGTATTATTTTGAAAAAATACTAACAATCTTAAAACAAATTTTTATAAATAGTTTTTGATAAAAAAATTTAGTTTTTATTAAATTTTAATTGCATAGAGTTATTGGATTGCTTTGAGTTGTTTATTTCTAGTAATTTATTCATGTAATGTATTTTTATCTTAATTAGTTATTATTACATGAGTTATTTGATTGTTAGTAAGTTGTTAGGAATTTATAAAATAAAATAAGAATTTTATTACTTAAAGTTCTTACTAATTTATTTGTTATTTATTTTCTTTTGTAACTAACTTTCTCTACAGGTTTACTTAAGCGAGAAATGAAGATATATAATACAAATAAATAAAATAAATTGGATCTAGTAAATTGAACTACTAATTTTTTGTTTGAACATGATTACTTTTGTGTGGAACAAGAAATAATGTTGAACTTTTAGATTTTTTGTGAATTGATATATTCACTTTAATGTTGATATTCATTTTGGATTTATTTCGTATTGTTTCGAAAGTTCGTTAATAATTTTAATTTAATTTAATTAATTAAATTCTTAAAAAATTAAAGTGTTAAAATTTGTGTTTTGAAAATTCCAAGAAATTCGTCTAAATGAGAACTTTCCGTTTCCGATGATATAAAAAACATCTCCAAGGAGTCCGGATGAACCCATACGGCTAGTGCAAAATTTGTTGTAAAAATAATTATTTATCATCTTCTTTGTAAGCTAAAAAAACACGGCGTGTTTTTATTCTCAGGGATGACATCATGACGACACATGTGCTGACCTCATCATGACACGTGACAGATCAATCAGCGACGCAAACTTTTCAGAAATTGCATTTTGGTTCTTGAATTTTAGGATAATTTTATTTTAACCTCAAAACTTTTCTTTATTTGCATTTTAACCCCTAAGTTTCATATATTTGCATTTTGGTCACTAAACTTTCTAATATTTGTTGTTTGGTCCCTAAACTTCTTGTTATTTGCAATTTGACCTCTAAACTCCTAATATTTATAGTTTGACCCCTAGAGTTTATAGACTTTGCAATTTAGCCCCTAAAAGTTTATGAAATTATGAATAGTTCCTTGGAAAGTGGAAGAGTATGTTGTTGGCTAAACAGGCGATTTTAGATGCAACTGTGAACTCCAATTTTGCAGATTTGAACAGTTTATAATTGTAATAGTTGCATTTCAATTCATAGCAGTTTTAATTTCTAATTTGTAATAGTTTCACTACAGTGAAAGGAAAGAGATTATAAACCATCGTGTTTGGAGAAAATCTTTGGGATTAATTTATTATTCCCAAAGTGTTTTGATTTTCTATAATAGAAACCAAAGTTTAGCCTTGGCTAAAGAGTATTTTTTATTTATGTTAAAAAATGACAATTAAAATGGATTTGGTTTCAAACCTTTGTAGTTTAATGAAATCTTTGGGTTTAATCTATTTATTCCCAAAGTGTTAGAGAACCAAGTTTTGAAAAAGTCTTTGGTTACAATCTGATTATTTCTAAAGTGTTTTGGTTTTGAGAAAAGAAACTAAGATTTAGCATCAGCTAAATTATTTTTGATTTATGTTCAGAAATAATGGGCTCGATTTCGGGAGTACTGGTTGACTTTTATGAGTGGTGCAATTTTGGTAGCAATTTTTAATTGGTTGGGAATTGTTTTTTTTTTAATAACTTGGTTTATGCCTTGAAAATTTAATTCTGAATTTGCTTCCCATAGACAATGAGTCAACAAGCTCTTGAAAGTTTTGTTTAAGGTTAATTGGGTTTTAAGTGGAACCGTTGTGACCTCTCCAGTCTTCATAGAAACTTTCCTGACCTTATTTTATTATGAAGTTAGTGGTGAGATTAGTTTTAAATTAAATTTCAGTTTTTAGGATTTCCTAGTGTTAATTTGGTTTTTGGAGAAACAAAATAGTTGAAATTCTGTTGTAGTTTTAGAGACAGCTTCTAAGGTGACAACTTTAAGCCTTGTGAGATTCTTAAAGGAAGATCGAAAGAGATCAAGTGTGATTAGAGGAAATCATAAGATTGCATGATAATATTTGTAACGCCCCCCAAAATGTAACAATAGATAAACCTATAATATGCGTCATATATGCGGAAAACTAATAAAGTGACAGTCTTTCATTAATTCTTGGGTGAACATTTCAAAAGGTACCACATGCATTATACATTCATAATTCCTAAATTCTGAATCTATAGCATATGACACATAGCGCTAAATAGAAATAAAAGAAAATTTAGATAAGTTCATTCCTTAATGGCTACATATTTCCAGGATGATGCTTAGTTACAACAAAAGTGGGTTAAGCCCAAAGTAAATAAAAAGCTCGAGGCTTGTACAAAAGATGTTTACAATACAAAAATGAATGAGCCTTTAACTCCAAGATCCTCCCAAATTAAGTCCTTGGCGGAGGCATACCGTTAGCACTTGAAAATTGGTTTCCACATAGGGTGAGCTAGAGAATACCTTAACACACTGTATGATGTTTAACAAAGTCATATGGTGAATGTATATGCATGCCATTTATCAAAACATTACACTTTTCTCTTTCAAAACAATGCAATGCCAAAATTATAAATTAATTCGTAAAAAAATACTTTTTAAATAAAAAAAACAGGGCAGTGAATATACAACACTAGGAATCTCTAGGTACGTGTCTGGCAGTAGGCTATACAAGCACTACCAAAGCTATTTTACTGGTACTAACCGGAAGGATTGGCACCAAATCATGTAGGTTTTTGGACTTTCACCAAGGACACATATGCCAATATAGATAACACCATAACCACACCCCCTAACCAGACTCACTAAGATATTCATCTCTTTTTCTTAAAACGATATATTTTCAATGTATAGATATAAAACAATGTTCAATGCAAGATGTATGAGTAATTAGTTTCAATTAATCTAATCTTCATTCAATTTCTACAACAATCAAAGCTATCCTCCGCTGATAGCCCAAAATAAATATCTCTATACAAAAGACAAATCTCCAAGCAATAGATATAGTTTCAAAATCTCAATAGAGGAGGGATAATACATATTCAACTCCATTCTCATTATCAACAGGTATATTCATATTATTATTTCAAAAGCTCAACATCTTTCCCTTTTTCCTTAGTTCAATATCAATGATTTCCAAGATTTCCAATAAAATATCTATTCCTTTCAAACACACATTTAAATGAGAGATTTTCAAGATTTCAACCCAACTTATTAACATACTCATCTCCACAACATTTCACATGAACCCATTTCAAAACCCCTATTTTATACTTCCAAAACCAATTCCAAATCAAATCCTAAATCAGACCCACAACTCCAAAATCACCACTCTTTCAAGGAACACATAATAAGGCTAAAAATTATACAAAGAGGTTAAAGAATCCCTAGAGATGAACATGATCCAAAGTTTGATGGTGCCGAAAACTAGAACTTTTCCGATTAGAACGTTCACCTCTACAAGCTCAACACTTTTTCCCAAACCACTAGGGTAGCGAGACCAATGAATTTGAGTGTACAAGGGTGTTTAGACAAGAACTAGAGAGAGTGAAAAAATCTAATAAAGAAAACTTTTAGAGAGAGAGAGAGAGATCAAAAAGTGAAAGAAAAAATCTGTTTCCCGTACTGATATACACATAGACCGCTCGAGCGATCAAAACACTGCTCGAGTGTCAGACACAAGGAATCACCCGAGTGACTAAAACATAGTTCGAGTGCACAACGACCCCCTCCCAGTAGTTCAGACTTGCAAAGATACCGCTCGAGTGAAAGAAATACTACTCAAGCGTCAGACACAAAATACAGCTCGAGCAATCATCCCATGGCTCAAGCGAATAATACCCCATTCCCAAAAGTTCAGACTACAAACACAGATATTGGAAGGAACCAAAGACTGCTCAAGCGAAGGAAAGACCGTTCGAGCGAACCTAAAAAGAATCAGGCAAAATCCCTCTTGAAAAACCAACTCCCAACCTATTTCAAACAATCTCACAACCATAATATCTACTCTCCAAACAACAATATATGAAAAGAATGGGCATATACAAACACAATGAGCACCAGATTCTGAATCAAAGAGTATAAATGGTCGGGTCTTTACTCGGGCCGCTATCAAATTGTTTATTCCATGTCTAAGTTGAACATATTGTGGAAGACCAGCAATTTGACAAATCAAGAAACCATTGACGTAACATTAGCAATGTGAACGTCAGAGTTAAGAACTCCAAAACATGAGAATTAATAATTAGGAACCAAAACATATTGATACAAAGATCTTTCAAAAGATGCTAACTACACAATAAAATAAGCTCCCAAGCAGCCTTTTTTACTTCTCGAAAGAAAATAGCACCCAGGAGATGACTCAATTTCCACTAAAAAGAGACAGGGAAAATTCATTTGAGATACAACATAATTCACTACATAACAGCCATAAAATGACTCATGTTCGTGAATTACACCCATTTGTAAAGATGGATATATCTTTAATTGATGATTAAAAACAATGATAAGGGTTTCCAATCATTTGTTCTAAGGAAAAACGTAGATTAAAATGAGTATGTTCATGGATTGCACCAATTTAACTTTTTGAAGCTCTTAAAAAATTGTTTTGAACTATTCAAAAAACAAAAATGAAATTAGGAGGTGCAAAACCATGTGTGAAGGGACAAAAGGAATCCGTAATGTCTTCATTAAATAATAACACATTTGGTATTGTTTGGGTCTATGCTTATAGTTTTTATTCTAGTCTCAACTACAATCCCTGTACACATAATAAAATAATTTTAAATTTTAAAAAAAAATAAAAAAGGGAAACAATCAATAGACAAAAGGGTAGAATAGCAGGATTTTGAATCGTCTACGACTCATCAACAATGACAATAATATGAACAATTATATTATAAAAAAGAAAATAATAATACCACATTTCGACCCTTTTATTTTTGTCAAAGGCATCATCTATCCCATGAAGTTGCAAAACAAAACAAAAAAATAAAAATAAAAATCATCAATCGAGAAAAAACCTTGCTGCATTATTTATATTGTTTAGTCCTCCAAAAGAAGAAGGTTAGGAAATGATTCATTCAGGAGCATGCCATCTGTTTCCAAAGGAGGCAAAACTAACTGAAGGTAAGAGTGTTACTAAGTGATAAATGGCATAAACATTCACCAAATGGCAAACCTTCGTATGGGAATGTAGCAGAGTTTCTCAGTTCTGATGCAAATCTTGAATGATGGAAACACCAAGCGTTTGTATCTTCAGCATAGTTCTTCTAATCTCCTTGATCCTGTCAGTTGACTGATTTAGTCTCTCAGTAGACATTTTTGTTCTCTCTCTTTGATGCACAAAAACCCATATGTAGTTCATCAATTACAAAAAAATTTCCTCCATATATATCAGCAATAAACAACCAACTACAATAGCTATAAAAATTGTTTGATGGGCCACGAAGCAATAAAAGGATGCTAATTTTTTTTATTAATACATCAAGTGCAATATTGGAAAACACTATCCAAAATATGCAACATTAAAGCACAATTGACACACACATGTAGGCTAAAAGTTACTATCCAAATTGCGAAAGAGGCTTTTTATGGCAATCCTAAAGAACATATTTTTATCTAAATAACATATGTCTATAGTAAAATAAATTAATTTTTCCATTTCCCACCTTAATCCTTGAATTCGTTAAGAAGACATAGAAGTGTGATGCCTTGCTGACGTGTGTAGTTTATGTATTAGGCAAGGAGCACTACGATTAGAACAAACTTTTGCCTTAGAGACACCGAAAATAGTTTTAACATTATAAGCATCCAATAGAGACTTCTATCTTTTAACATTATAAGCATCCAATAGAGACTTCTATCTTTTAACATTATAAGCATCCAATAGAGACTTCTATCTTTTAACATTATAAGCATCCAATAGAGACTTCTATCTTTTAACATTATAAGCATCCAATAGAGACTTCTATCTTTTAACATTATAAGCATCCAATAGAGACTTCTATCTTTTAACATTATAAGCATCCAATAGAGACTTCTATCTTTTAACATTATAAGCATCCAATAGAGACTTCTATCTTTTAACATTATAAGCATCCAATAGAGACTTCTATCTTTTAACATTATAAGCATCCAATAGAGACTTCTATCTTTTAACATTATAAGCATCCAATAGAGACTTCTATCTTTTAACATTATAAGCATCCAATAGAGACTTCTATCTTTTAACATTATAAGCATCCAATAGAGACTTCTATCTTTTAACATTATAAGCATCCAATAGAGACTTCTATCTTTTAACATTATAAGCATCCAATAGAGACTTCTATCTTTTAACATTATAAGCATCCAATAGAGACTTCTATCTTTTAACATTATAAGCATCCAATAGAGACTTCTATCTTTTAACATTATAAGCATCCAATAGAGACTTCTATCTTTTAACATTATAAGCATCCAATAGAGACTTCTATCTTTTAACATTATAAGCATCCAATAGAGACTTCTATCTTTTAACATTATAAGCATCCAATAGAGACTTCTATCTTTTAACATTATAAGCATCCAATAGAGACTTCTATCTTTTAACATTATAAGCATCCAATAGAGACTTCTATCTTTTAACATTATAAGCATCCAATAGAGACTTCTATCTTTTAACATTATAAGCATCCAATAGAGACTTCTATCTTTTAACATTATAAGCATCCAATAGAGACTTCTATCTTTTAACATTATAAGCATCCAATAAGCATCCAATAGAGACTTCTATCTTTTAACATTATAAGCATCCAATAGAGACTTCTATCTTTTAGTTCTGTAAGAGGGGCTAATTTGAGCCCACTAAATTATTTAGGCCCAATAGCCCAAGATTAGTGGGCCCGAATTTATCGCAAGTCCAAGAATCGGTGGGCCCAGATTTATCGCCATCAAACGGATTGAATCGCTCTAAGCCTTGAAAGGGTTCGGATGATCAAACCCATATCAGAAACAGACTTTTTGGATCTGCAACTCCATCTCCAAGAGCTTTCTCACCCATCAAAACTTCTTCTTCAATGTGTAGCCACATGCGAAGGACTATCTACAATGGTGGATGCAACCCACAGAAGATTGCTCCGGCGGTTCAAATCAGGTCGGTGATCCCAGTATGTGCAGCGCCACCACTACCAGTGAGACCAACGCCACACCAACCCTACTCACTGATTTCCCTGTGTTGGTTTAAGGCCAGCGTGATGGTATCTCCATACCGGCCCTCCGGTGCTGTGCTACGGCACTCACGAATCACGATTTCCACACCCGCCCTGTTTTCCAGTTTGGTTACCACAGTGAGTGGTAGAGGCCAAATCGGCGAAGACATCGCCAAAGAGACCGCGAAGGATTGGAAGGGCCTCCGCGTCACCGTGAAGCTCACCGTCCAGAACCGCCAGGCCAAAGTCTCCGTCGTCCCCTCCGCCGCCGCGCTCGTCATCAAGGCCCTGAAAGAGCCCGAGCGCGATCGCAAGAAGACGAAGAACATCAAGCACACTGGAAACATCTCTCTCGATGATGTTATCGAGATCGCCAAGGTCATGAAGCCGAGATCGATGGCTAAAGATCTCAGTGGTACTGTGAAGGAGATTTTGGGTACGTGTGTTTCTGTTGGGTGTACGGTTGATGGGAAGAGCCCTAAGGATCTGCAGCAGGAGATCGATGATGGAGATGTTGAGATTCCCCTGGATTGATTTGGTTAGGTTTCTTTTTAGGGTTTGTTCCAAGATTCTGTTTTTTTTTTTTTTTGGAATTTGAAATTGTGGGTTTGAGTTTTTATGTCTCCGATTTTTGATGATTTGAGCTTGAATTTTTTCATTTGAGGAGATGTAAATTTTATGTTTAGGGTTTTTGGACGTGATGATACATCCTTACCCCTTCTCCAGCTACGACTCGCAACAGGAGACGTAGGGCGAGGTCTGGTCTTTTGAACATCCACACGCAGCCATGGCCCATATTTAAAACACAAATTTTTGTAAGTTTTATAATAAATTAATGCAATCACATTTCGCAAAATCACATAAGTTTAAAAACAGCAAGGTATGGAAATAGATTTTAAAAAAAGACACTAGTGTGATAAAAGAAAGAGTAATATTACAATGATTATATTTGTTCTATTACACTCTATGTTTCATTTTATGTGACATACATATTAATTGCTTTGAAGTTCGGTTTTAGAAAGAGAATATGATATTCATGTGTTCTTGAAGAAAAAACATGATTTGATCTGAAGGCTTGCATTAAGATCCATGTTTTTGTGTTTGTTTTCCCAAGATCTTCGAGTATGGATATCCAGGTCCTTGTTTTTGAATTTTAGCATTCATGTTCTTTATGTTCTTCATGTTCATCAAGAGGGAAACCCAGATTTTCCCGACTTCATTTCCATGTATGTAGCCATCGGGACCACACCTCGGCAAGGAGGTGTGGGACATCGGCAAAGACCTGGTTAGTACCCAGCATGTCTTCTTGACATGTAAAACAGTGTTTTGACTTCCAGCATGTTTTCCCGAGATCATTTGCAT